GTCTTTTTGGCCTAGCCCTTTGTGGCAGGCCCTATTTTAGTATTTGTGCAGGTCATGAGCATGGCTAGCACCTTGCAGCCATTTCCTTGCCTTTTGACAAAATCTATGATGCGCCATGACATTTGAATAAAACTCCATGCACACCCCCAGCTTCCTGCTGCTGGTGTGATTTTTTGGTCCTAAACATGACCACTTTAAATAAAACTATTTAATTTTTAGTCAAGCGAAGAATATCTAGAATTATTTGCTTGTACATTTTCAGCCCAGAGAAACTCAGGTGTGGGGTGCACCTTTTTTGCCATTATACTCCATCCATCGATGTCTACCCATCGTCAGCCTTCCTCAAGACTTGGGAGCAGGAATCTATCATCAAAATATGGATCTTGAATACTTGTGCAGCCCCCACCAACATTCCTTTCAATATGGGCAATATTTGCAAAAATATCACGAGTTATTGCTCCTTATATGCGAAAATACTATGAGTTATCACTTACATAAGACACCTGGCGTCCGAAATGACATTAAACTATTATCATTACACATTTATATATCATTTGTATATAGGTTTGATCACCTATAGATATATAAAACATCATTCAGACATCTCAGACATGCTACCCTATATCAATAAGATCTCCAAGAGCACGATGGCCTTTGACCATAAACTGCTGGTGGAAATGGATCTTTACTTAGCAGTCCAACATAAATAGTCTATTTAGGGAGTTATTTTAGCACACACAATGAGATATTGGGAACCTTTCACACCCAAAAATGGTCTCAAAATTACTACATATTGCGCAAACAACTAGTAATTTATTCACCATGGGATGCCTACACTATTTATTCTCTTACAAAAGTGATAAGACCTTTTTTTCCACCCACCCTCCCTTACTTTTGTGTCATTTTGTCTTGTTTTTGTTTTATCTCGCTCATGCCATGTCGATCTCAGTGAGGACCTGGCAAGGGGGAGGTAATGTAGGAGATAGCGAGTGTATATGAGCTTACATAGCAAGTAACCGAGCGCATCTCCTATTCGAAGAGTCAAGAATGATCGGTGATGCAATTAGACACACATTCGTAGGGAACAGCAAAAGTATATCTGAGTATGGGAATACCTGCAGTGTCTGTGTACTATCAGAAGATGAGCGGAACACACCCTCAGGTGTAACGAGTCAAGGATGATCCAAGAAGCGACAAAGACCACATTTTCACCTCTATTTTACAATTTTTACCTATATAGCATGCCAACCTAAAGGGCAACCGAGAGATCATTGCCAACAGTAGAGAAAGTGTTAGGGAACACTTCCTACTTTTGCATACTACAATGCATAACTGGCAGCTATTACATGTAAAATTCTAGAAGAAATAGGCAAACTTCTGGGTACAAGACACCATTTTGCATAAGTCCTAGTGATCACACAGGCAGCACCCTTATTGGGCAGGCAATAAGACCCCTTGACCAAGGGCACCCTGATATTAGGCAGCTTTGAGCGCCACCATGAACCTGGGCATGTCACGAAACTGCATCACTAGGCAGCTTGCGAGGCCAATAAATGACGTCATTCAAGATCACAATCAATCAGAAAGTCTATCTTGACTCAATCACAGATCAAGTTTTGATCACGATCAATCGATCAAATCAAAATACATCATATCTTCAACCACTCAAACATGTAACTAGGCACACCACGTGATCTTTTGAACACCACCTGATTATGTCAGCATTAGATGCCACTTGATTATGTAATAAAAACATATACTGGTCGAATTCGAACTGGATATCTCACTCGTTCAAGTGGCTTAGGGGTTAAGCCATAATGTTCAAGTCCCCCAGAGATCACCTGACACTACACTCAGGTCCTGCTCGACCCCCAACGAGCACAGGTTCGAATCTCAGTGGGAGCGAACAATATCATGACTTAATTTCTGACTCAGCAGCCATAACACAAAAGCACGAGGTCATGACCAAAAACTGAGGATAAGGAGATTGCATCTGCAATCAAAAAACTATGTTTTGCATCTACAACCCTTATCTTTTAATTCAACAACCAAGTCTA